AAAGCCGAGCGAGGACCGCTGGATCATCGAAAAGCGTATATATATACATATATGTACACGTACTGTCATGTAATTACCTTTATTCGATCAGTGAAACAAAATTCCCGCTAGGAAGTGGCATATGCTAATTGATCGGGACGCGCTCCACCAGCTTGCGGAAAGCTCGCGAAGTCCAACGAAAACGTGAGAGAAGGAACCTTTAGAGAACCGTCACTGTCCTCTTTCTTCTCTCCTCGACCAACCGCCAAACCAACTTAGCCGCGTGTGAGCAACAAGTATACTATGAACGTTGCTGATCCTTGAACAGAATGGCAAACTCTTAAATTAGGATTTACTCTATGCTCGGAGGTTACGCAATCGCTAACACATTATACGCACCGACGCGACGCGACGCAACGCTTTTTATAGTAACTGAATTATGTATCAGGTTGGTACGTTAGGAATTTACATCTGCTTGTGTTCACTAAAGCACAAATACAAATATGAAATATTCTGTGAACATAAATGGAAATGGAAATATAAAGTCTCTTTTATGATAAAAATATTTGATTTGATTAAATTTTATTTATAAAATCTTTAATATTTTACGATTTGAAAATTATCGTTCACTTAGATGGTATTGGCTTTATCGTCACTTAGAACGTTTTGAATTAAACAATAAATTGATGGATTATCTTTATGTAAATATTAATTAATTTTATAATCATGTAGTGTACCGAGAAAATGGTGATCACGTGACCGTGTGTTCCGCAATACACGTATTTACTTAAATATCATGTTAGTTTCCGTACTATGTACAAGATGATTTGAGTTTGATAGTAGAGCACGATTTCGACATTAATCACATACGCACACATGCACATATATGAGTTATCAGCGCCATTGCATGCCACGGTTTATTATTTACTTGAGCGTGTTGCAATTAAGATGCGAATAATTGATTACCGTGGTAGAACACGATTCTCAAAGAACTTTAACCGAACTGTTAGTAACAGCTTTAAGTAATCGTTAGAAGCGATGTCTTAAACATGACGTAAGTTCGAAAATGTTTGAGGACAAGTTCAATAGATTGTCACCTGTCCGTGGTCATTTCTGATAATCGGCATGGGACGTGCCAACTCATCTACTATCATTTAGATACAATTTGTATTACAACAGTATGTGTTTATCGAGGAACTGTTTATAGTTTACAATGAGATAGATTTATATAATAAACTTATAAAAAAAAGAATTACGATACGATGGCGAGCGCACCTGTCGGAACTAACCCGGATAGCACTTCCAAATTTTTGGAGTCGTTGCAAACTGATTTGAAAGCCCTAGCTTCTGAAACGAAGAAGAAATATCCGCAGATCAAAGAAGTATGTTCTTATCGTATATTTATTTAATAAGTAAACGCCTATTTTATTGTATACAATGATAAGATTAGGTTAGTTTATCAAAGTAGTACTTGAAAATTGTCATTTAAAACTATGTATTATTTTCTTTTACATAGAACCGAAATTAGCTTCCAGAAGAATGAAATAGATGTAATATACATTTTCCTATGAATATCATAATAAATGTAATACCTATTTATATGCATTTTGTTATAGTCATGCGAAGAAGGAATCACTAAAATAAGAACTGCTTCAAATGCCCCAGGTGTTGCTATTTATTATATTGTAAATCAAATCTTATATCCTTTGGTTCAAGGCTGTGAAAGTAAAGATGTAAAAATTATTAAGGTATACACGAAACAAACCAACATTTTTCTCTTGGATTATTATTCTCTTTATTATATTTTCTAATTCATATTGTATTTCTTCATGTTGTTTTAGTTTTGTTTAACTATAATGCAAAGGTTAATTACACAACAAGCTGTTGATCAAAAAGGTGCGCGATATATTACTGATACATTATGGATGTTAATGGAATCAGGAACAGAAGAAGTTAAAGTGCTGCAAACTGTAACTCTATTACTCACAAGTAATACCATTGTGCATGGTGAAACACTTGCTAGGGTAATATTCTATGATATGCAGTAAATAAAAATTTATATAATAATGAATAACTTTATTATCTGGCTTAATTTTCAGAATCTTGTTCTATGCTTCCGTTTACATTTTACAAAAGATTCTACAACAATCAACACAGCAGGAGCTACTGTACGACAGCTAGTGTCATTGGTGTTTGAGCGTGTTGTTGCAGAAGATGAACAAAGCCCTGATAATGATGATTCAGATGATATAAATTTGGAGGAATTGAAAATTCCTACTAACCAGGCACCCAAAGGTTTAGGACCATGTGCTGCAGATGCATACTTAATGTTTCAAGTAAGTGCATACACATTGTTCATGAAATCCGATTGTAAGACTAATTAATAAACATGTTTTATTAGGATCTAGTTCAGCTAGTAAATGCAGATCAACCTTATTGGTTAATCGGTATTACCGAAATGACGCGTACATTTGGGTTGGAATTGTTAGAATCTGTTCTAACAAATTTTTCTTCAGTATTTTTCAAGGTACTCATATCAAATATAATTAAAGTATTGCATTTGTATAAGCAGTAAAGGTTCATTGTTTGTTTACAGCATCCGGAATTTAGTTTCCTCTTAAAAGAAAGGGTTTGTGCCCTTGTGATTAAACTTTTTTCACCAAATATTAAATATCGTAATTCCGTTCCGGCGTCATTACAACAAGCCACACCTTTGGACAAGCCTTACTTCCCTATTAGCATGAGACTTCTTAGAGTTGTCTCAATATTAATACAAAAATATCATTCTCTTTTGGTGAGTAATATAATTTCGGATTTTATAATATTTCTGAGAAGTAATAGTATATTTGACATAAATGTTTTTCGTAAAATTAGATGAATACATATCACAAGATTCGATATTTTCAGGTAACAGAATGCGAAATATTTTTATCCTTAATCGTGAAATTTCTGGATCCAGATAAGCCAACTTGGCAGAGGGCTTTAGCATTGGAGGTTTTGCATAAGATGACAGTACAGGCTGATCTTCTTACGAACTTCTGCGAATGTTACGATTTAAAACCTCACGCGACAAATATATTTCAGGATATTGTTAATAGTTTGGGTGCTTATGTACATAGTCTTTTCGTTAATCCTCAAATGATGAATCAGGCTAATATGGGTAATCTTTTTACACTGATAATAAACGGTTGTTAATTAAAGTTATATTGACACTTTTATAATACAGCGGCAGGTACGACAATACCACAAAACACTGCGTCTCCCTTATTCACGGGAATGCCAATTGGCCCTGGTGTCTCGCCACAGCCTGGCTTTTATTCTCGCGGTATTTGGTTACCGGTAGTTGCAACATTTACAAGTGGCCAGGCTAAATCTACCTAGTAAGCGTATTATCAGTATTTATGATCTTTCATGAAATCAACATCTTTTAAAGATAATATCACCGACGATTATTTTTAGTTTGGATATGCTCGATAAAGTTGAACCACCACAGATACCGATAGGATATGGTATTAGTATAGCGTACGCATGTTTATTGGACATTATACGTTCCATTGCCCTTGCCATTAATGGCTCCGGTGAAGCTATAACAGGAAATCAGTCGTATAAACCAACTGAATCTGATCGAAAACTTCATACTCAGCTGATTAACTCAAGTTGGTGCGGTTTACTAGCTGCATTAAGTCCTCTGATAGATGCCAGGTAAAACAAGTATTACTCTTTATTGTGATTACTTTATTACTGTAGCATCGTATATATAAGTAATTAATATTCTATTATGATTATTAGCACTGACGAATCTGCGACAGAAAATGTGTTGAAAGCTATTCAAATTTTTGCATCTTTGTGTGGACAATTAGAGTTACAAACTCCACGCGACGCCTTCATTACAGCAATATGTAAAGCTTCATTGCCACCTCACTATGCACTGACAGTATTATACAATGCTCCTCAAGGTATACCAAGTGCAAGACAACAAGAGTCTGCTCAATATAATTTGACAATGGGCGAACCGGATTACCGGCAGCAAGTAGTAGCTGTTGGCACTCCACTGCCCACCGCATCTTTACCAGTTGGTATGTAAATTAATTGAACTGTAAATAATGCTAATTAAATATTGAGAGTATCTAATGATAAAACATACTGATAAGATACGAATCTATTAATAGAAATAATGAATATACATACCCACATGTGTTACAGTTGAATATATGTAATTCATTTTCACATGAGGTGTTTAATGAACAATTCATGTACTTTATAAAATTATATTCTGATTACACAGGCGCACACCAGGGGCCAGTAATGTTAACAGCAAAAAATTTGCAATGTATGCGTGCATTACTGTCACTTGCGCATTGCCATGGTAGCATACTTGGCGGTGCATGGCATTTGGTATTAACGACATTACAACATCTTGTATGGATTCTCGGTTTAAAACCCTCTACAGGGGGATCCTTGAAAGCTGGGAGGACCCCGGCTGATCCAAACGCAGTACTTACGAATGCAGTTATGGCAGATCTACCTGTACTTAGCGCCATGCTTAGTAGATTGTTTGAGAGTAGCCAACATTTAGATGATGTAGCTTTACATCATTTAATAGATGCTCTTTGCAAATTGAGTCACGAAGCTATGGAGTTGGCTTATTCTAATAGAGTAGGTATTAGGATATTTATAATATATTCTCTAATTTATAACGTATAATTTGTTATATTGTATACATTATGTGTATCTGTGTCAGGAACCATCATTATTTGCTGTGGCCAAGCTATTGGAAACTGGTTTGGTGAATTTACCTCGAGTGGAAGTTCTGTGGAGGCCATTAACAAATCACTTATTAGAAGTTTGCCAACATCCGCACATTCGTATGAGAGAATGGGGGGTAGAAGCTATTACGTACCTTGTCAAAATGGCTCTCCAGCACAAGTATCCTCAACCTTTACGCGATAATCAAGTATGTTTATTATGCTTGTTATAATTTTCAAGATTAATAACGTTTATAAGATTCAAGTATTAAAATACAATTTATTCTTTCAATATAGAAGTTGCAAACGTTACTCTTAGGACCGTTATCCGAGTTATCATCGGTACGCCATGGTGATGTGAGACAACGGCAACTAGAATGTGTTTTACAAGTTTTACATGGTGCAGGGGAAACATTGTACCATGGTTGGCCCTTGGTACTTGGTATTATTGGAGCAGTGTCCGATCACCATGGGTAAATATCACAACATTCAAATGAACATAATTTGATATTGTCAAATAATGCTGTTCCTTATGATATCTTGCAGGGAAGCTTTAGTTAGAATAGCTTTTCAGTGTTTACAATTGGTAGTAACTGATTTTCTACCAGTGATGCCTTGGCGGTGTCTTCCGCTTTGTGTCGACACGGCTGCCAAATTCGGTTCGCAAACTCAAGAGTTGAATATTTCACTTACTGCGGTTGGATTGATGGTAAGAATATTTGTTTCGAAAAAAATATTTGATATTATAAATTATGTTATTGCACGTGTGTTAATCATGGCATTGCTTGTGCGTTCCTTTTTAATCTTACAAGAAACGGGGAGTGACGGTGTTGCATGAATTTGGTGATTCATGGTTAAAACTTTCGCTTACGAGCAATGGGATTCCTTTGGAATATATCAAAGCAAGAAATCATGATTAAAAGATGCATACGTTCAATCGCAGAAGACTTAGAAGCGTCTAAAGTTATTCAAATTCAAGCAAAAATATCTTGAACAAATGAAACTAAGATTAAAACAGTTAACCGGTTATGAACGTTTTATTTAAACAAATAGTCTTTTTACCGTACATAAAATACAATCGGTTAAAGTAGACAAACGAATCAATAGATCATGCATATTTAACACATTCATGATTACTTTAATTTATTAATATCTTTACTTTCTTTCAGTGGAATATTAGCGATTATTTTTATCAAAATCAAGAGAAACTTTGTATTTCTTTAAAAGGAGATTCATCTTCTGTATTTCCGGATTTTCCTGGTACAACGAACATGCCAGCGTTTGATAAGCTTTGGATGTGCCTATACACGAGATTAGGTAATAATTGTCATAATTTGTATGCAACACGTTGAACAGTTGATCCTACAGAAGACAATAACGTAACGTTGCAATTAAATATAATTAACAGTTAAGTAATAGTTTAAAAATTACTTTTAAGGGGATTTATGCGTGGATCCTCGACCTGCAGTACGCAAATCTGCCAGTCAAACTCTATTTTCTACAATATCTGCGCATGGTAGTCTATTACATCAGCCAACATGGCAGGCTGTGCTTTGGCAAGTTCTTTTCCCATTACTGGATAAAGTAAGAAGTTTATCAAACTCTGCTAGTAGCGAGAAGGTAGATACTAGTGGAAATATACTCATTCATCATAGTCGGAATACAGCACAAAAACAATGGGCAGAAACGCAGGTAATAATTAACGTTACTTAAAGTAACTTAAGTTTTATAATACTATTCCAAGATTTGATTATCACACGAACGAACGAGTCTCATAATCAACTAATTCACAGGTACTGACGTTAAGTGGCGTTGGAAGAGTATTTAATACGAAACGGCAGCTTTTACAAATGTTGGGCGATTTTCCTAGAGCTTGGTCTCTTTTACTAGAGTTCATAGAAAACTCTGCACTTAGTAAAAATAACGAGGTACAGTATTAATAATGTTTTTCCTTATAAAAGGAACGCCGATAAGCAATTTATATATAATGTAAATCAATAGGTATCGTTGGCAGCTTTGAAATCATTTCAAGAGATTTTATATCTTCAAAAAGGTAGCGATAGTAATGAAGTGATTCAATCGAACGATTCAGAGGCATTATGGGTCGTTGCGTGGCGTGTGTGGCTTAATATTGGAATGGAAAGTACAACACCTCCACAAGAAGGCGAAACAGAACCTTATATACCGTCGCAAGCATTTTTAACAGCATTAGTTCACATATTTCCAGCCGTTTTTCAACATATTAGAAACAAGTATATTTATTAACCTTTTCACTGATCTTTCCATTCATTAAAGTTTTCTTACGTCACAAATGTGATATTTAATGTACAGGCGTTTGACTACGTGTAGCAAATAATTTGTGGGATGATTCTAGAAGTTAAAATTTCTTAAAATATATATTGTGCATAGTCGAATGCTCTGTATATATAAGATATTAAATATATTTCATATCTCTTCTATAGTAGAAGTAAAATATGATATCCGATTATCTCTTTTTTTTTAGATTCACTGGACCGGATTTGCAAAAGCTTTGCATAGTACTGAAAAATGCAGTCGCGGTTCCGGTGCACGGTGAGTCAACGCCGTATATTTTACCTACAATGCCAGATGTCGTCCTTACTCATTTACAGGATGGCGTGCTCCATTCCATGGAACTTCTGCAAAAAGTGTGTAATTTCCAATTCGCTTTTGAATTATTCACATCCATTCGAGGCTAATGTTTATAATCTTTTATAGGAAGCACTAAACGGTCCCGACAATCTACGAACAATGATTGTTTTAATCTTTCTTCAACTTTTAAGCTTCTCAAAATTAGCTTGCGAAGCGCCTACGTATGGTAAAATCCCAACGAAACATATTTCTCAAATTAGAGGTCTATCTGTACGTATTTCTACATTTAGCGTTACCGTTTTCTGTTAAACGAATGTCGCACAGTATTTTTCATTTATTTAGAGTGATTGGGTCACTATGAACTATGTTCCTTTTGGGGAGAAAGCCCTATCGATGGTTGTAACATTGTATCAAAAGACAGCGCATGAGGTAGCAGTAATAGAAGGGCAGGTTTTGAAGCATATTATAGAAGCGTTACACGTGCCTTTGTCAATGAAGTATGCTTGTCCGTCGCCGACAACCTGGAAATTGGCAGTAACTAGCCTGCTTGCTGTTTTACATACCGGCTTACCACTGGCCAGAAAATGTCCAGAACAGTTTCAGACTATGTGGCCGGAGCTTGCAAGTACCTTAGATGATTTTTTATTTCCGAAAAGGTAATTTTAAAGAAATTACAATGTTCCTCCATAAAGGTCTACAGTTTTCATTCAAAAGTGATCAATTATGTTTTTATTAATCGTAGCGTATTAAACGTGGAACGAGGCGTGGAAGAGATCCAAGCAGATGAAGCTGTAGATTGTCAAGTGATGGAATTGTTAAGAGATGAAGTTCTGCCACATTCTCAATACATACCTCATCAATTTATTTTACGTGTGGTGATGCTTTTAAATAAAGGTTCTATACATTCAGCAACCACAGCAAATATTGGTATGTAGTATGAGTTCAATTCGTTTAAAATAGTTCGATATAACGAGAATATTATTTTTTATTTTCTATTTAGAAAATGGCGGCGAAACCAAATTGCGGGAAGAATTTGCAAAGACTTGTTTTGAAACATTGCTACAATTTTCTCTTTTGGATGGGTTGAACAATGAATCAGAACATGATACATCCAAAAATCCTGAAAACGACGAAGGGGGAGTAGCTGGAAGATTAGCAGTGACTGCCCTCCTTCATAGGTTTCAAGAAGTATTGCGACGATATATAGAAAATGAAAGGCGCAGTGGAAAGTGTCCATTACCCAGGTAATGGTTTCGTTTCTTTTTTTATTTATTTATAACAAATAACATTATTACGAACTTTTCATTTCCATGCTTAACAACATCAACATAGTACATAGTTACATTAATATGTTTATAAAATGACATGAATTTTTATTAATTTTTAAGTACTTATTATATGAACCTTTTCTAGGTACAGGTTGTCTGAAATATCATTTGTTTTGAAAGCAGTTGCCACGCTTGTTGTGTCGCTAAAAAAGGCACCTCCAAATAAAGGTAATTGTAATTTAAAATAAGAAAGAAAGCACGACTCCACTGATAAGATTACTTAATCACCACTTAATATTTTGTGTTTAACTCTGAATTTTACGCATAGAATAGAATTACACTTAAATTTTGCTGCGCAACTGTTTTTGTTCTAGTAAATACAATATTTATGTAGAACAAAAAAAAAAATTAGATTTTAAGGAGTACAATTGAACAAGATTAAACTTATCATATTACTAGAAACTAATATGTAGCTTGGTGAGGATGGAAGAAATAATTTGGCGCAAAGGGTTACTTTTACTATTTTCTTTCTTTTTTTCAACAAATTTAGTATCACGTTAAAAGATTTACAATTTCATTTTTCAGTTGAAAAGTCAGTTTGGGAGCAACTGATTGGATTATATCCCTGTTTAGTAGAATGTACAATTGCTACCGCATCAGGGCAAGTTTCAAGATCTTTACGCGAAGCTTTGCTGCAATACCATGATCTATTGAGGCCGCCGATTCAAAATTCCACAACATCAAATGGTGTTTGACCACTGCATTCTTTAATTCTAACTCGAAATAGTGATGTTTACTACAGCGCCAAGTAGTGAACCATTCACGGCTACGGTTACATGTATAATAAATTTCACTGCAAAATTTTTACTTCCGCGTACACGTACAAGGCGAAGTATCCTAGGGAAATACTGCTAGCTAAATTTTTCTCGACGCATCCTAAAAAGTTTGTCTCGTCCAAACTTTACACATATTTCATTGTTGTTCGAAGAAGTAAAGAAATTTAATACCGCCATTTTTTTTCTTTTTTTTACAAAATGCAAAATGATTTTTAGTTTGTAAATTGCAGTAGATGGTTATAGATACACGATTATAAATAGTAGAGTAGCGATAAAGTACAAAAATAGGAACACTTTAGTTGTTTACTAAAAATTTCTGAATATTTCTGTTGTCTTACGTATTTATATTTGTAGAAACGTGACTTTAAATTTAAGCTTTCTCTAAACGAAAGAAGAATCTTGAGGATAACGAAAAAAAAAGAAACATTGATTACACCGAGCGTGACATTTATAGATAATAAAAGAAGCGCATATAATTTTTTTCGTGCAATTAACGTTATCGTCTATAAACTGCAGAAGCTTATGTAACACCACAGAGTTTCATATTTATAAGTGAAATAGCACATAAGAAAAGAATCTAGCGTTAGGAAGTCGAAGCAAGTATACAAAAATTGTATCAAATAGCTATTTCGTAAGTGCAAATTCATTACTAACTTTACAATTTATACACATGCCATTCTGCTGTACATAATCGATGTACGAGTTGGCTTTTTCTAATACATATTGTAAATATTGAACTAATCACGATTAGTATACAGTATAAGACGATTTTATAAATAATATAAAATTATTATTCGCTATTCTTACAATGATATACGATATCGAAAAAATTATGATATAACGATGTAAATAGCTACACAAAAATTCAATAAAAGTCTGAAATATTTATCGCTATTTTTGTATAGAAATCGCGTCTTTGTAGGTTTTTGGGCTTCATGTTTATTTTTTTTATATAATTTTCTGGTTCACAAATATGTAGCGATAGTTTCTTTTTATATACTAATTTTTTAACAATAAATATACGCCTCTGGTTTTCTATAACATTTTCATTACATTGGATATATAATCGTATTACGTATACTCAAGGTTTTATTACACTGGAATCCAAGGCCATCCGATTAATGGTATTCACTTCAGCCTAAAAGAAAATGTTCATTAGTCATAATAATATTATAATATACTGAATTGCGTTTTATTTACACCGAATATTGTAAAATAGCATATTTCTCCGCGTGTTACTTGGTTCGATTTCTTTCAATGGGCAAGCGCCGTTGAAGAATTGAAAGGAAGCTTCTTTAAAAGATAGATGTCGCATTAGCGACCGGAAAGCTACTACAAGTTAATCAAGTTGCGGTAAAACCGTGTCGTAAAATAATATTCTATTTCCTCGATATCAGGCTATGAGTCGCGCGATAAATAAATCTGAGGAATTTTCCTTGCATTCCAACGCTTTGAAATATAACAATAAAGAAGTGACGACTTTGATTCATGATGTATTTTCGAGCGACGCCGCAGCCATGATTGTTTAGTTTCGGGGGGATGAAAAGTGAACGCGAGCGAGGGATTTGAATGAAACGCGTGCGGAATATAACGTACCGACTTATTTCTGTGTTTAACGAGCGTGCCGGTTACTTCAGAGATATGGTAAGCGATAACATTAGTTCATGCCTCAATTAAGCGTCTATTCCCGGCGAATAGTTTTCGCGCGAATTTTCAGGTGTTACGATTGTTGTTGGGTGCCGCCGCTACCGCGGCGCAACATTGCACTTTCAAACTTTCGATCGATTTGTACCCGATGTTGGTCTACAAAGTAAAATAGCCGTCAAACATGGCCTATCGTTCGACACGACTTTTTCCCCGTTTCTCAGTAATTTCTCGGTTTCGCGTACGAACGACCCACCGATTTTCTGAAAACGTTAGAAAACGCAACCGGGTATTACACCGCATATAAATCGATATGTACTTGTGTGTGTGTGCGTGTGTGTTATACCTATCTGTATGTGGGTGTCGTACGCGCGAGCGCGCGCGCGCGTGCGTGTGTATGCGTGTGTTTTACTTGGTGTGTGACGCTCGAACGTGAGTACATACGTTTATACAGGCACTACAAGGAATCGTGGATCAGGAACGCCCCTTTTTACGATACGATCGAATTTCTTTCCCGCGCAATTTCTAAGATATAATGAAATGCTAACTAGCTGGAATTACGAGCCGTATACATTTTATTGAATGATACGTAGATTGATTCTACGTGATTTTATGATTATTTTTCATTGAATAATGATTTCTTCGATTGTAATGAAAACCTATGTCCATGTTATTGTAATGCCTTTAAAAAAATGTATAACATTGAAATAGGAACATGAAAGATTTATCAGTGAAGGAGATAGAGAATTTAAAAATGCATATATTAAATATGTACATATATAGTTTCTTAGTAATAATTATATACAATTTCATTTTTACAATACACTTAGTTTCTGTTTTTTCATTTAATTTTATGACTACATTAATAAAATACTTGTTTGATATAGTTCTTTTTTTTTAATTCGAGTATTTTAAATAATTTGTTGGCGAATGCTATGTAGGAAGTGTTTCATCTAAGCATATAAATGCTTCCTGTGTTTAATGTTTGCTAAAGATAGCATATTACTAAATCAGTTATCACACTTAGTAGTAGTAGAATATTTTTAGTTGAAGCCTGACGTGCTATTTTGTAAAATATGTATCTGGAAGAGATGAATGAATATATAAATTATGTTATTATATTAATAAAGCATGAAACACAGTATTGAAGAAATATTTATCGGTGTGTAAATTTGAACTTTTTTTGTACATATTTCTGTGGAATACTTTGTCTGTGTACTTAAACAAAAAGAAGTAAAATACATATAACACTTTTTTATTCGTTTTCTTGTTGTTTTCAATAGTGTAATAATTTATGATTGTATATTGTTTTAGGAAATTTAAACATTTCTTTGAAATGTGGTTACGAAGTGAACACGCTAGTAGAAGACTGCGTGGTCGTTTAAATATAAGTAATATATCGAGATCAAAGATTTCAAACCATCGAGTACAACTGAGCAGTCTACGGAAACTTCCATCTATTGGTAATAATAGTCATCGTATTACTAAACCAAACAAATGCAGCAGACTAACACGATGGAGACGTAGATGTACACATTTTTTGAAAGAAGTAAGTCTCAAGTAGTATTTAAATTTTAAACTTATATTATTTCTCTTGTACCTAGTATATTCTCCTCTTGTACAATCTTATTACTGTTATTCGCTTATTATAAATGATCTTTGCAGGTCATTTATTAAAACAAAACTTGACTGTTTCTTAAAAAGAAATACTTTCTAACTAATCAGCGATTAATGGTTAAAAGAGTGACTGACTAACTCGCAAGGATGTTATGTAATTAGATTTGTTAGACCGGCAATTGAAGCTATTTGGTTAATATTAGGACGGCAGTTTGGTTTTGTTAAAGAGATTGTTATCTTCGTAGGCTTGTAAAGAAAATGTTTTACATTTTGCGAAGTCTGCGACTATTAGACGTGAGAGAGGACCTGGTAGAAGAAAATGCATAAAGCGGTCGATGGTTACTTCAACTCCATTACATCGATCATCTCCAAAAGATGCAATTACTGTAAGTTGTTATAAATCATGAGAATTATATTTGTTACAAAATTATTTTACTACAATTAGAAATCATTTTTTTAGCCATCAAAATGCACAACCGTATCAAAAGTTTCTGAAGACTCTAAAGAAAACTGGAACACAACAATTTTATCTTTATACTCATCAATATTAAACACAGATTCATGCTGTTCCTCCATCTCTACTATACATGATTTTAAGCCTTCCATTCCAAGCGTATCACCACTGACAAATCTAATGCCTCCAGCATCTATAGGATCACACGCAGACTTTTCATATGTATTAGACGATGAAGAAAATAAGAATAATGGTATACAAATTTATTGAAATGTTACATAAAGTTAATCGTTCGATTTTTAATGTATAAAATAATAATTACTTCATTTGTTTCAGATGCCAATTCACTGTATTACACTGCTTCCTGTATGCAAACAGAAACACCCGAAGAATACTATAGTTTAATACATTCTACATCTATGTATGGAACTCGTACATTCTCGACAGAAAAGTATTTTCCAAATGGAAAATACGCACTTAGCAACAATAATGAAAATAGCACTAATTTATCGAAAAATCAATATTCACTTGATAGTCATTCATCAAAATATGAGCCAGGTTTTAATACTACAAAGTATAATGCATCAACCATGTACAGTATAAGTCATCATCATACATCTGACACAAATGGGAATGTTACGGAGAAATATGATTCTGAAGATATTGATAGTGACTATCATGATGGTGAATACATGGAAGTTGGAAGTGAAGAAATAGTAGAAAGTTGCGATGTAGAGAATATGGTTACTCATGTTCAAGAAGACTGGGAGCCATTTGATCCCTATGTCTTCATCAAACATTTACCACCTTTAACACCTGCAATGAGAGCTAGATGTCCTGCTCTCCCACTTAAAACACGCAGCAGTCCAGAATTTAGTCTAGTATTGGATTTGGTATGTTTACTTCAAAATCGAGTATAAATAAGTTTCATATATCAAACCTGAAGACTTCTTAACACGATACAGAACATATGAAAGAAACATAAAATATATTTCTGTTATATAGGATGAAACGTTAGTTCACTGCAGTCTACAAGAACTTTCGGATGCAGCTTTCCGTTTTCCAGTTGTCTTTCAGGATGTAACATACACAGTGTTTGTTAGAACACGACCGTTCTTTCGTGAATTTTTGGAACATGTTTCATCATTATACGAAGTAATCCTTTTTACTGCGAGTAAACGCGTTTACGCGAACAAATTAATGAATCTATTAGATCCGACAAGGAAATTGATTAAGTATCGTCTGTTCAGAGAACACTGTGTTTGTGTTAATGGAAATTATATCAAAGATCTATCTATATTGGGTAGAGATTTATCTAAAACTGTTATTATTGATAATAGTCCTCAAGCATTTGGATATCAGGTAAAATATAAACTAGCAAAAATTATATCGATTACGTACTATCGTTTAATTTTGAATAATATTTCTGTTACAGTTGGAAAATGGTATACCTATAGAGAGCTGGTTTGCCGACCGTTCAGATAATGAGTTAATGAAGTTGTTACCTTTTTTAGAAAATTTAGTAAACTGGGTGAGTATTGTGTACTTAATAATTTAACCGATTTCTATCTGAACTTATTGACGATAAAATGAATTACTTAATATTGCAGGGAGGGGATGTTAGACCACGTATTAGAGAACAGTTCCGACTTTTTAGTTTTTTACCACCAGATTAATTTAGGTAGTAAGCACAAAATTAATGCGGAAGTATCAGCCTACATAGGTATCTATATGTATGTACATCTTAAAAATGCGTGCAATAATACACGCCAAAAATGATATAATTTGCAATAATAATCTTATTCATAAGTACGTCCAGTGAAAATGATTAACAGAAACGCAGTTGCTTTTATAAGGATTTAAATTAATATCCAATTATAAGTTTCATGAGATTTCACGTAAAAATCAACTTTCTCGTGATAAATTAATTTGCATTATATATTTCTTTGAGAAATATTTTTTGTGTAATGTAAATTTCGTTTAAATTGATTTCGTAAAACTTATTGTCAAAGATACATTTAAAAAACTGTATCAATGCATAAAAATTGCGTTGTTAAAAACTATTGCTACATAGTAGATATTAGAATCTACATCTATTAAACTTTGGGCAGGTACCAATCAATTAAAATAATAGACAGTGAATCTTTATAGTTCACAGACCAAGCAAGATTTGATATTGACTGCTAGAGCTCATACATTTCACGTGTACACCACCGTTGTATCAAGTATTGTGTGTGGTATTTTGATATGGCGTTTATTGAATGATTGGTTTTAGGTTTTCATCGTTCAAATGCTCTAGCAGTGAAAATTATAGAAACAGGCATCTCTCGATTTACATGTACTTTGTAGAAAATTAATAATAGAAATGTAAATTATATCATTATGTACATAATACTAAATCGAAAGATATCTGAAGCATATTTTCATCGAAAAAGTCATAATTTGTTTTACAAACAATTATATATTTAAAAATACGAAAATTTAAATATAAATAGAAAGACACGCAGTGTCCTTTTGTTTATCTTGAAAATATAAAGTTCGTTAAATTCAATTTCGGAAAAAATGAATATCATGGTTCGATTGCGAAATTATTTACATCTGTTACATACAAAAGTATGCGAAGCACTTATTATACATTTATCTAATCACAAAGATATCTTAAGAAAGCTGACACTCATAAATAAAATCATTGCAATAGCTAACAAAAAAGAAATAGTAAAATTCATTGGATAGAAAGAAAATATAGTTGTAGAATACGAACGAAAGATGAATATAGAGCAAACTTCCAGTTATAAACACAAGTATCTTCCGTTTCTCACAATGTTTTTACTTCTATATATAGTGTATACATAGAGAACAGAAAATCATAGCCATGTAACAGGAAGTCCATAAATGGAAACACTGAGCTCGTACCTTCAGTACAAAAAAAAGATTATTGTATTCATTGTATTTATAGTTGGTTAATTCAAGTTGACTGTGTTTTTTGCGAACACCGTCATGTTTATTTTGACAAACCTATCTGCACAAATAACATTAACTATCTACTGAAATAGCATTCTAATGAAATTAGTATTATAGTTTGTTACTTTCCATTTTTCTTTACTAGATCTTTGTTTACTACTTACGTAGGTCCGTACACTTACAAAAATCTTTCCATAAAGAGCTACGAAGTCTTCAATTCGAATTTAGTCGTTATAGAAAATATGATCTCAGTCTGATTACCTTTGATCAGTGTATTAACCCTTTGTACTCAAGAATATTTTTCTCAGCAAATACCCATTATTCTCTGATGAAATATCGATGATATTTTTACAACATGAAGAAGTATCTTGAATAAATCAAGGGACATAACTATTTTATTTCAATGCTCTATACGTTGATCCATTACATAAAATGTAATATTAAATTTTAAATTTTATAATTTCATGTAATGAATGCAAAGGGTTAAAACTATACCTGTTGAAGCTTTAGTTGAGCACTACAAGTATAAATCAGTATAGATTGCAGGATATTCGAATGCATATATATTTATATTCGTAATTTCATAATTATGAATACATAATATGTATGTATCTGTATGAGCGTGAGTGTGATAAGTATATCATTATAGCTACACCTAATAAAATTATACAGTTGCGTGTAATCCATAGACGGAGACTAATATCAAAACAAGACATCCATGCGAAATAATTTAGCCGAGTGAAAAGAACCGTGACAGTTTATATCTTGTAGTTCTTACTATACTTCAAAATTACGTAATGCGTCTCACATTACGAAAGAAATTATAGAAATGCAATTTTTTTTTTATTTTATTGAATACTTTTCATTGGGTAACTTTAATCTACCCGATGAAAAGTATTATATAAACTCGTAAAACGAGATTCGCTTAAATCGATAATTTTAATTTTATACATGCGTACTATGTAAAAATGAAAATAGATTCAGTGTTTTAGTTTTATGATTAAAAATCCTTCTGTACTATTTTCATACAATGACTTCTATGTTTACTTTTAATTGGTAACGAATCATACACCACTTCTACTTGCGTTTGAATAATAAAATTACGTTTCCCTGTAAGTTGTAATAGTATCCTTCGGACGGTATTTGTTATCAGTGATTATTATCAAGAAATAAAAATAATAACAGTTAGGGAGATTATACAAGAAAAATACATGCTTGTTACATGCGAAACAAATGGTTGTATTGTTAATTCTGTTATTCATCAATGAACACTGAATATAGTTAGATTTAAGTTATATTAAGACAATGAGCATTTTTTATTTAACAACATGTCGACACATTAAAGTACATTTACAAAAAAAAGGGGACACCTTAACGAGTTAGAATAATTTTACAATTTATTTAGTTCACAGATATTTGATAATATCAGTATTTAATTAAAATGTAAGTAATTACAATTGGTGTTTATTGGTATAAACTGAACGCTGGAAACAAGAAGTATGTAACAGATTTAGCATAGAAATTGTGGAAACACACATATAGCGACGCAAAATTGCGCAAATATTAAATATTTATTTTCAGATTCAGTTTTGTACGATATAAAATCATTAAAACATTATTTCAATAACTTACATTTAATTTAAGTTGAGAAATATTTTATAATACAGAAGTAGGTTGTTTTAAATACAATTTCTACAAATTCAGTTATATACACAATATTTATAACTGAAAGATTAATCATTGTCCGATAACGCCTTCTAATCGTGCTTAATATCGACGTAATTACATATTATACATGATTCCTCAGTACGATTCAGTTAAGACAGATACAAATGCTGAGAACAAGTACGTTGAAAACAATCCTTGGACAAAAAAAATTCATAATAATCATTGAATAATCATTTACCGTTATTTCCGACAAATCTTTCTGTAAAACATCTAGTTTAGAGGTACCTTTCGCAGGTTATATACTCTTGCGGTATTCCAACAACATACATTTGGAAATCTCCAAAGTTGTGTTACTTACTTCTCGCCTCCAACGTTTCGTTACTCTATTTGACCCCTATTGCTTGAGGAGAAAAAATGCTGAAAAATGTCACGTGCAGTATTATGTATTTAAGATAATACATTGAAGGATACTTCATGTTCAACATTAATATACTTTCTCTAAGTAACAGTCATAACAATTTAACTATCAATACTATCTTGTTTTCTATACAATTTACTATCTCACCATACTCGAACTTCAGACACATTGATACTTGTTTATTGTTGCCACTGCAACATTGTCATCAGGTATTTCTTGTGCATTTGCACGAACGCATAATATAAAATATATCATAACATTAGTTTACATTTTTCTATAGCATATATCATCTTAATTTTATAAACTTATTTAAAGAAAATAATTCATTCTCTAACATAACAAAGCTATTCCTCTAAATTTATTGAATGCTGCACAATGTCGGCGTTACATTTTCATCTTTCTGAATTTCTCGTGCATAGCGTAGGAACTTAATATCAGCGCAATCGGTATACCTGAGTTCGATGTATTTGAAGTTCGAGTGTAATTCCACCTAATCTTCTGAACGCTGGAAATACCTAGTCTCAATGCGTTTGCAGAGATCCACGAGCACTGTATATTTTCGAACGATATTCGCCAGTTTGTTATCAGGTAGATGTGTTGTAATAATAGTAAAAACATGTCCAAAAACTAGGGCGTCTAATTCGTTGGGTTTCCTAAATGTAATTAAACAATAAAGCGATCAATCATAAATTGGTCTATTAAAGAAATTAATAAAATCAAAAGATGCATATGTACATATATACGCGCGGGCGCGCGCGCGCGTGTGTGTGTGTGTGTGTACTTGTACAAACTTCGTAAAAACTGACAGTAAATGTAAAAGGTTTTAGGGGAATTGCAATTGCAATTCAGAAGAATCTTTTGAAAGTGCTGGCAAAGATTCAAGGGATTCAGAATTGTTCCACAAACTATTGATAGAAGGGGAACTGATAATTTCAAATTCTTCACTGATTTCAACCAAATCTTCCTTGAGATAATTATTTTCCATTTTTGTCATATGCGTAATGAGGTTTGGAAAGTTCTTGATGATTGTAACAATATTTTGCACACTGGGGCAAAGGAGGGAATGGACTAGCGTATGGGTATGACCAAATACCAGGGCGTCTAATTCAGTGGGCCTTACAAATTAGAAAGCATGTAAGTAATATAAAAATATAGTACTCTTTATTTAAAAATAAATTAAATTTAAATAAATTAATGGTTTATACTTACGTATCACCAGAGAAGTATTGATTACCGTCCAATCTCTCAGATAATGCTTTACAACAATTTTCAACTTCATTGCATACATCTTCTATGCTTTTATGATACCAGCCGAGCACATTAAGTTTTTTAATAACTTCCTTCCTTTTCTGCCAATTTAAGAAATGCTTCAGTGGCCAAGGATATACAAATCCATGTCTTCCTTTAGTTACTTTATTTAATGTTTCTTCATCGACCCAACAAATGTACAATTCAGCATTTACAAATACATTATTCACTAACGACATATAAGCTCTCATGTCTGCTTTAGATGTTGTAGACAGATGACTTGATAAACTTATGCCTTTGCTTTCTATGAAAGACACAATTCTATCGAACTCAGATATTATAAGTGATCCACATGTAATGAATGGTACTCGACCAGTGGGTGACATATATTCAGCATTACTTCTTGCTTTTATTTCTACTGTTAAGTCACACATTTTAAGGAAAGCTTGTACAGCCAAACAATTTGCATTGTCAGGCAACAATATTTGCTCAACCTCATAAGGCTGATACAAATGAATTGATTTAGGCAATTCCTCCTTAGCTAAACAACAAGGAAATAAAATTTATACAACATGTTATAGAATATGAAATATATTTTATTTGTATATAAATATTATTCTAATTGTAGTAAAATAAAGCACGATTAATAAACAAAAATAACGTTTATCAATTGATAATAGTTTTATTTTTAATCATTCAATAGTTAAGCTTAAATGTATAAAAACAAAGCATGAATAAATAAGCAAATAATCCATGGATACAGGTTAAGTAATCGTGCAAGTGAAAGATGAGACATAAAGTATTTACTGTAATGAAATAAAAAATTACCTGCAAATTCCAGATATATAGTGTCTTCTAACAAATCACTAGGCATTTTTGTTATTAAATGGATTTTAACAACGGTAGAAAATTTGAATTTCTTCCTTTAGCTTCAGACTTCGTCAAATGACAGAACAAGAGAATGTCCGTAGTATTTGTAATATTTATTTTAATTTTTCTTAACATAAACAATATTATGTACAATCAATATTTCAGTAACATATAAATAATTACTATAATATTGATAAGGAAATACGTTCACATTTGATTATTCAATGGAGTTTCAGTTTGAATCAGCAAAACATTATGCTGTAAACAGATTAAGAATTAAACTTTATTTCCTCATTTTAATGGATATATTTGTTATCTAAAGATGTATTTTTTAAAATTATGAAGTATACATTTGTCAGTAACATTCTATAAGTTAATCCCATTTAAAATACATTATAAATATATTTAACAGCACATATAAATATTTTATATATCGTGAATTTAAACATTAAAAAAGAACATTTTCTGATGAAATAT